TTTGTCGAAACTGGAGCTCGTAGACGTAGCTATTTAGGAATCATTTGAGTTTTCAAGCATCGAATGTTGAAAATACGATGATTTTCATTTCTTGCTTCAGTTGGCGAAAGTCGAGTGAGTTTATTGATTAGTCTTCGTACAGGAAGACCATATTAATATATGTGTAAAACTTTGCCACTGTGGTAGTAGTTAATTCCATATTAGCTTGTTTATTAGATATATCACACAGTGAAACAGTATTATTTACTGGATGACAAAGAAAACCATAAAATTCGTGTTTCGAAGTCGTGTGATTATAATTTGATATGATTATGATCAATAAATTTTGTTCCAGACGTCATCCAGCGAATAATACTGTTTCACTGTGTGATATATCTAATAAACAAACTAATACGAAAGAATTACTTGCTACCACAGTGCCAAAGTTTCACACAAATTCTTTATTTTTCGTCGTATCTGTTGTTACCAAGATTTGTATTAGTCTTTTAAATTGATATCAGTTGTTTCCTGCGAGAAATTGAAATACTTATTAGTTTAAAAAAAAATTAAATTCCTGATTGTCTGTTTTGAAAAGCATACAGTTGTCATGCGCCTCAGCATTATGGTAATTTTTCGCCACTGTCTTATATCCAGATCGCAAAGATCCTCAACCTATCGTTGATTTAATGAGACTACGCCTAATATACAGCATACTATGCACAGTAGTAACCAACACGGAATAACAGAAAGCCAAATTGTTTATTCTTCCACCAATAACAAGACAAAAATACAGGTTAATGTCAAGCTAGTTAATACTGATCAAACCGCTTAACTTGAATATGAGACTTTCATGATCAATTCTTAAAAAATAGCTGTCAGTGTTATTAATCAATCGATAAGAAAAGTGTAATAAGTCTGTTGTACAAACAAAGAAACAACATTGGCGCAGAATAATCTGGATCCATTTTGTTTCATCGGTTCTCATCAGATGCGTACATCCTGCATTCTGTAGTAAAATAAAAAGTGTACAATTTTAACAAACTTTTGTCCATTAGCAAGTATATCATCAGAGCTTCATAGGGAAATAAGGCGTTGCGATTTACAAGGTGTCTAGTGTTACGACATAAACAGGAAATATATGTATATATATATATATCTTATTAGAGAGAAGTGTCTTGATAAAAAATTGATCAACACTTGTGTTGTTGGGGTGGTAACAAAAGAAAATTAGCAATAGTTACGTAATTAGACAAGAGAAGATCAAAATTTTACAATTTCGGTGCACATGAGATCAGATGAGAAGCTGATGATGTAATACAGTGAGTAGAACTCAGAAGATCAAATAATTCTCTTAAGGGAGTCAAGCAAAAAGTAAAGGGGGGCAGTGAAAAGATAAGCTAACAAAATTAGAGAACAATGAGTTACTAAGATGTGAGTCATCAGGGTAATTGAAGTCCAACAACGGATTATTTTTGGACACATAAGCTAGGCTTCAATCGTTTTATTGCTATAGCTTCAGCGAACCTGAGAAGACTTGAGGTACTTTGTCTGTTAATTTTGTTATTTTGAATGATTCCAGGACATCTAGTCGGTGTCCTGTGTCAATCAGGTGTTTGGCGATTGAAGAGCTTAAACAATTCAGTCCTTTTGACCGGAGGCTCCTTGGTGCATGTCCTCAAAATCTAACGTAGACCCTCCTCTCTGTTCTTCTAATGTAACTGCTCCCGCAGATACATGTGAATTGGTATACACAGTTGGAGATAACATGTGAAGTGTACTTGTCAATCTTTGATTGGACCAGTGAGGAGGTTGTTCGGCGTAGAGAGACTAATGATGCTGCAGGACACGTCCTAGACAGGGCTGCGCTTAATCTTTTATTTAGCATTCTCATAATGTCGTCACCCTTGTTGGTCGAGTTTGAGGAAAATAGGCTTCTTACTGGCTGTAGCTGTATCAAGCTTCTTGAGTTCATTCTCGCCATATTTGCTAAAGGAACTTTGTGGATAGCCATTTTCTTCCAAGCATTTTTCAAGAAGCATTAGTTCACTATCTAGTTTGTTTTGTGAACATATTCTGTTCTGTCTAGAGAAAAGCGTTTTCACCAGCGTACATTTGTATCACTGGGCAGAAGCTGTTGAAATTCAAGTAAAGACCACTCCATGGGTGTCTCTACGACATACAGATCTTTCGAGTGTCCCGTCGTATTTTCTCTCCAACTGTACGCCATCATCATCTTCATGCTCCATTGTGAAAGTGATGCTTTTGTGTGAATTGTTGAAAGAGTCTAATAGAGACGAAGCGTGACTCAAATCATTGCGTACAAGGAATGTGTTATCAACGTGTCTATAGTAGGCTGTTGTTTCGCCAATTGGACACTTGGACTTTGTCTATTCCAGACTGGCCATAGACGTATCAGTTAATATCGGATCCAGTGGACACTCCATTGCCACTCCATCAACCTGGGGATACATTTTGTTGCCAAACTGGAATTCTATGTCATTAGTACATAACACGAGAAGCTGCTTAAATTCCAGTTTTGGTAGAGGAAGAAGATCAGAGTGTTGACAGATGACATCTAATGTCTCGTGCAGTGGGATCTGCGTGAATAGAGAAGTCACATCGAAGGAAACCATGATTTTGTCATGTACATTGAGTTGATTCATTTTTTCAACAAATTGGAACGAGTCTTTTAGAGCTCGCTTGGCTAGACGTTGTCTGACAGGTTCTAACCTATTGACCAACCCGCGTGCAACTTTGTGAAAGGGTGAATTCACCATTGAGAGAATTGGTCTCATTGAGCGATTCTTTTTATGTATCTTTGGCAGACCATACATAAATGGTAGACGAGACCGACTAGATGTCCTGGAATCATTCAAAATAACAAAATTAACAGACAAAGTACCTTAAGTCTTCTCAGGTTCGCTGAAGCTATAGCAATAAAACGATTGAAGCCTAGCTTATGTGTCCAAAAATAATCCGTTGTTGGACTTCAATTACCCTGATGACTCACATCTTAGTAACTCATTGTTCTCTAATTTTGTTAGCTTATCTTTTCACTGCCCCCCTTTACTTTTTGCTTGACTCCCTTAAGAGAATTATTTGATCTTCTGAGTTCTACTCACTGTATTACATCATCAGCTTCTCATCTGATCTCATGTGCACCGAAATTGTAAAATTTTGATCTTCTCTTATCTAATTACGTAACTATTGCTAATTTTCTTTTGTTACCACCCCAACAACACAAGTGTTGATTAATTTTTTATCAAGACACTTCTCTCTAATAAGATATATATATATACATATATTTCCTGTTTATGTCGTAACACTAGACACCTTGTAAATCGCAACGCCTTATTTCCCTATGAAGCTCTGATGATATACTTGCTAATGGACAAAAGTTTGTTAAAATTGTACACTTTTTATTTTACTACAGAATGCAGGATGTACGCATCTGATGAGAACCGATGAAACAAAATGGATCCAGATTAGTCCACGTCACTGTTTCTTCTTTCTTTGTTCAATTTTATAAAAGGGAATTATTGTACGAAGGTCTCTTGTAGTTTCGTAATAAGATGGGTGATTTATTGAATGAGTTGTGATTAGAAAGTATAGAATCATGTAAGAGTTATTCAGAAACACACGGGTTCTAAGGAGTTAGAAAAGCAGGTACGCAAACATTAAGTCAGTGGAAAGCAATACGTTAGTTGCAATGATAGTAAAAGTGGTTGAATGATTTTCTCTTGTACATATAACTCTGTTTTTTCCAACTGAATGGCTCTCTAAGGAGTTCGATCATCTTACGCCTTGTCAACACCAACCATTCCATTTCAATAAACTGCTCCTTTAAAGTAATCTACAGAGTCAAGAACAACCTACCGAAGTCGATACGCTTTCGTCTCCTTTGTGTTTTTGAAGGCTTATCCATTGAGCTAAAAAAACCGGTGTTAAGTATACAAAAGAAAATCATTCAGCCACCTTTATTGTCCGCTCCGTCCTCCTGTATGGGTGTGAGACTTGGCCTTTGAGAGTGAAGGACATGAACAGGCTAGCTGTCTTTGATCATAGGTGCTTGCGTTCTATTTCCCAATTGAAGTGGTATAGTTGGGTTAGCAATATATTGAGGCTAGGCGTCGAGCACTAGGTAAGGAGGGTAAATCAATCGATGTGGTTGTAAAGTTGTATCGACTGAGACGGTTAGGACATGTGTTACATATGCCTAGCCATCGCCCTCCTCGACGGGCAATGTTAGCTGACATAGGATCAGGTTGGAAAAGAATCAGTGTTAGTCAAATCAAAAGATGCCACCAGTCAATGAAATCCACAACAGTTAGTTTAAGTCAGCCACGTACGAAGATGTGGACTCCCTGTTTGGGGTCCTCGTACCGGTAAAAGCTAGTGGCTGGAAACAAGCGTTCTCAATAGCTGGTGCGGATGCATCCACTCTTTGTGACTTATGATTTCCAATGGAACTATATTGTTCTTTGTTATTACTATTCCTTTTGCTTTCTTTGCTTGCTTTGTGTGCTACACGGAGTGTGGCGACTTGAACTGCTACACATCGGTGCAAATTTCTGTGTTGAAAACAGACAGGTAGACAACCATGTGACTCGATCTAACTTAGGCGATTCGATAAGGACAACTTTAGTTGAAAATCTCTAATTTCTCCATAGTTTCCGCTCTCAGTGACCATGTCTCAGGCGTACAGTATAGTGGGACTAACATCTCCATACTGTTCACTTAATAAGCAACCAGACATCAAAATGAGTGAATTATTATTGATAAAACTAATGGATGAGGTTGAAACACCACCTATGTAGTGAAATTATTTGTATATATTCATTCTAAATTGATTTGCTTTAATCACAATTTCACCAGCATGTGCAAAATTCAAGATTTTTTACTTTTTGATTTTAAAAGTGATCAAATTTCTTTGTAAATTCTTCCCTTTTTATTGAAATTTGCATTATCAATAATATTTTGATTGGTGCCATGATTTCTTTTTTTTTTTAAATCTTGCTCAGCATAATTTCCCCATTGATCGTCGTCCACGTCTGCTAATACGTCGTGCACAAAGTCTTTATGAACTTGGACGTGATAAAGACGCCTTAAAAGAATATGATGATTGTCTGGAATTGATTAAATCTGAGAATATATCACTTCCTAGTGGTTTAGCCAAAGTGATACAACAAGGCAGGAAGAATTGTTTACATAGAAAACAAAAAGACGTGATAGAAGACTCAGCAAATCAAGCTTCAACTATACCATTTTTTGTACATGAAGTCAATGTATTAACACCAAAAAATGAAGTGAATCATCAAAGTAAACTTGTAAAGATTGATAATAATATTCCGGTTAATGATGACAAGAATAGTGAAAATAGTCGAATGCATTCAAGGCTTATGCATCCTCTTCATGCTCAAAATCCACCAGCAGTTAAATTGAATTGGAATGATGAATACGGTTGGCATATTGTAGCTGCAAGAACTATTAAACCCGGTTTGTGTGTGTGTGTGTTTGTATTTTATTTATTCAAACATTTTGTATTAGTATGTTTCAGTCACCCTAAATAACATAGCAAACGTGACTAATAGTAGATGCCAATGAGCAGTATGAATTCGGTTTATTCGTTACCATATAACAATGAATCCATATCATATTATAGAATGTGAATCAATTATAATTGGAATAATATTCCAGTAAAGTATTCAGTCTACTGTATCGTGTTAATTCGGCTCTCCAAAGGATTACAAGTTTCTTCTTCATTCCATATATTGTATGACATGACATACCGATAAGCTCTTCATATTGGTGTACACTACTTTTTTAGCTACAATTTCGTTAGTTTGAGCAATATAATCATAACATATTTTTTATTACCCATCACCAGCTTACATATGATATAGATATGATAGAGAAGATTTGTAGCCCAGCTGGATGATTTTGATGTGGTTGTGTTCTCTAAGCAGCTGGATAGTTAATTTGCGAAGCTTTCATCACCCGCCTTACTAGGTGACACCTTCAGCGCATACTTCAATCTGTTGAAGTGAGCTTTTAGATTTCTCCACCGAGTTTATTAATCATCTCTCCTGGTCGGTGACCTTGGACGTGATAGCTTGTTTCTGTGTGTGTTTTCACACCTTCTAGGTTACTTGTATTGCAACTGACTGTTTCTTTGACTTCAACTTTGACCCATTGTGTGTGTGAGGTTTCTTTCTTATCGGTTGATAAATTTTGTCTATCTCCATGTGTCTATTGATTGATGATTCACTGGAATATCAGGCGTCTGAAAATACTCTAGCACTCTTGATAGTTCCTCTGTCTAATATTTGGACGTTGTCCCAGTCGAATTGATGTCTGTGGTTGTCTGTATGTAGCGATTCCATGTCAACCTTTGTGTGTCAGGTTTTCTTCTTATCGGTTAATACATTTTGTCTATCTCGATGTGTCTAAAAGCTCACTTCAACAGATTGAAGTATGCGCTGAAGGTGTCACCTAGTAGGGCAGGTGATGAAAGCTTCGCAAATTAACTATCCAGCTGCTTAGAGAATACAACCACATCAAAATATAGGCAAGACTGTTTTTTACCGAGATGTCGCTTCGTATTTGCACTCACTGTATCAGCCATATCTATTAGGAAGTGTGATTTTGATCATTTTTTGTAATCTGTGGAGTAAGTTATTGATGGCTATCGTCAGCGTAGCTTCTTGGATTTAAGAATGATTTGAAGATCAAATTTATTGGCTTAAATACTGGTGAGATTATAGTCCTGAATTCTGCTTCATCTGCTCTAGTCTGGCAAATAGTCCTAACTCTCAATGGTGTTTATGGTGTTTGACATGACACGCAGTTGTTATGCAAAATGACAAACAGAAGTAGTGATCTTCCTAGCATCTAGTGTAGTGTCGCAATATGTCAGCTGTGTTAAAACATAGATGGGTGTTATAATAATAATAATCGTGAAATGTTTACTATTAAACGTTGGAGAACCCTTGGTCCCACTTTCTTTATGTCAATATCTCGTTGTGTTTCAGTTGGCATTAAGGAAACAGTGAGTGAAGTTGTTCATCATTTCGTGTTTTTTTTCACACTGTACTATGTTCTTCTCTGTTGGGATTGTTTAATATTATTCTAATGTAAAAAACAATCAGTGATGATCTATTCTATATTACAAGCTAACTATGAAAAACAAAATATACACTTACAGAAGTGTAAGCATTAGACGTATTTGTAATTCAGAATTACAAGACAATAAAGTATATAATTGAGTCACACGACTATGAATGACACGAATACTGATTGAAAAAAAATGCTAAGGTTTCTAAGTGACGCATTGCTGACATTCTAAATTATGCTAAATATGACTTAAATTTATCCATCAGAGAATTCAGAATGGATGTCACTCATAAACGCTGAATATATCCATCTTCCTCTTCGAAGAATAGTTAAATCTCTAAGTAGCTGTCTCAAATCAAAGTTCTGTAACTTGGATGAAATTATTTGCCAAATTTTCCCAAATCGAGTACACCAAACAACTCATTTCTAGATTAAAGGAAGAAGCTAGTGGCTTTGATCATATCTTAAGCGAAATGAACATAGTCTTTAGAATCAAGTTCACCAATTTTATTCTAGAGGTTCAGAATAAAACAAGCGTAAAATTCGGGAAAACTTTGTCAAAGACGCTGATTAAAGAAACTCTATGTGAAGGAATTCCGGAGAATCCTGATGAATTCGTATTCAACTTCTCAAGTTATAAACTGAGTCAGATAGAAACATAAGCACTTTCACTAGGATTCAGATTCCACTTTCCAACGAAATTTATCAACAAAATTGATGTCGAAACCCAGTTCGAAGGTTTATACCATCAACTGTCCGAATTAAAACCAGTGGATGATGAAAAACAAGGCTGGTTTAAATCTCGACTTGTCGACATTGCTAATCAATATATCATATCACCGAATCCAAAATCTACAGTTTTGTCGAAAGATCACCAAATAGCATTAAGAAACTTAATGAAAAATGAGTCTATTGTTAAAGCACACAGTGTTGTACAGTTATATGAACTGATGACGTTTCGAGCACAGACTATTGCTCATAATCATATCAAGTTGATATGATTATGAGCAATAGTTTGTGCTCGAAACGTCATCAGTTCATATAACTGTACAACACTGTGTGCTTTATCAAAATAAAATCTTATCTATAATGGAGTTATACTCTACCACAGTGCCCAAGTCTTATACTTATATAGAGTCTATTGTTATTCTCCGACCAGGATCAGGTGTTGTGATAATGGATAAAGATAATTATGTGAAAAAAGTGGAATCAGTTCTGAATGTCTCATCAACATTTCGAACTGATCCATCGAAAAAGGTCAAACCGAATCGATGGAAAGACGGATTACAAAGAAGCTAAGAGAACTTTTAAAGAAGAAGTTGATTGACAACAACATATACAACGAACTAAAGCCTAAGGGATCCAGATTGCCTAACATGTACGGCTTGCCAAAGATGCATAAGCCTGACATCCCTATGAGACTAATATTACCTATGATTAATTCGCCGTATCACAAAGTAGGTAGGTGGCTAGCAGAAATGTTAGAACCAATCTGTAGTAAATTAGCAGTCTACAGCCTGAAAGATACATTCCAGTTCGCTAAACAGTTAGAGAATCTAAACATCTTCAAGCATTCAAAAGTGCGTTTGCTCGTCATCTATTGGACACTGGTCATATTGTCGACAACCTGAAGTCGTTCAAAATAATCAACAAGCAAAAGAAACCTAGCTTGCTACGCTTTGCTGAAGCAATTGCTATCAAATGACTTAAACCAAATCTATGTACACAGAAAGAGACAGCGGTGAATCCTGCACTGTCGTGGTAATAACAAAAAACATACAACTTTTATGAGTCACCCTTTTTCCTGTTTAGAAAACTCAACTCTCTCATCTAAACGTGACTTACCCTACCTTGTTTTTTTCTTTCCTTTTTTCTACTGGCTATTAGATAAAATATGTTCTTTGGTTTCGTAATCCAATTCTTTTTGTTATGCTCTTTCTAGCTTAACCTTGTTTTTATACGCAACTCTGTTTTTTTGTTACCAAGCCTAATTGTCTAATTATTCTATAAATAGTCAGTGTTTGTAACTCTTAATTAGTTAAATCATTCCGGACTAATGTTACTTTTACTTCCTACCAATTACTCCTTGTGATCGTGGAAAAGTATGTTCACATCTTTAGTGTAATTCATATTTTTTAACGTTCAGGTTGTAACTAGTTGAGAAGAATCGTCGAAATAATAATAAAAGATGAGCTCATATTGTCCTGGTACAATTGTTGTTCTTGCTTTATTTCAAGAAATTATTTTGTTAGTGACTGGTTCCGTTTCTGAAATGATTGATATTACAGCGATAGTAGTGCTGCTTAGCATATAAAATTAAGATGATATAAGGCAGTAGTAACCACAGCTGTTGACATATCAGATAACCTTAAACAACCAATCACACTCAATTCACTTTGAAAATTATACTGCAAAGTATTTTATACTTTAGGTAGAAATAGTAATGTACGTCTAAACGTATGTGTATACTTGACTAAGAGCAGCGTAGATCTGTAAAACTTGGACGCTATGACAGTATGTAATTCTTTATTAGGTTGTTTATTCAGTGAAATAACAGTATTATATACTGGAAGACTCTTCGAGTACAATTTATTCTTCAGAATCTTATCAATTGTAACTCCGCACTTCTGACACCCAGTGTCTTTAGTCATCGTTCTTCTGGTTTTTTCATAAAGATAGTAGAATTTTTTTAAAGCCGTGCAGGACAGCTATCGAAGCGTTCTTATTGCATGTTTTCTTATTCGTTACAAATCGCTCACAAGGCAGGAAAACAAGTTGCATTCAGACCCACAAATTTACTTAGAACTACCCTATATTGGCTTTTTTTTAATGCCATGAGATGATTTTGCGGTCAAGGTAGTAAATCATAGTCAGTTAGATTAGCGGAGCACTGCCCCTGTCAGGATTAGAAATCTAGAAGACTTACCTAGGGCATTTCATGTAAGTATACACTGCCGTACAATGGAATGGAACAAAATGATACTCCTAAAATCTAACATCAGAAAGTAGGAAGAAATTAATCATTGAAGCTTTGTTTATGTGAATGAATTGAAAATATATGCAATAGAAATAACCTAGCAATTGTACTGGATATCTGGAAAGTTCTAAGTGGAGGAGAAGAAGAACAATGACTATAAAAGACCGAGCTTCGAAATTGTGGCGTTACAGTTGGTATGATTATGAAGAACAATATATGGGATATATACAGTTAGGCCATTTTCAACGGTCTGTGTTGTAAAACGTCTCCTGCATAATTGACATCAATGGATTCACCTGAGTAACATACGGGCGCTGTGAACACTCTTATCAAGAGGTTTCATCTGCAGGAAACTGTCCAATTATTATTATTATTGTTCCCTTGGGTTCCTAGTGGAACATAGGGCTTCAACTGCACGTCTCCACTTGCTCCTGTCTTCTGCTGTACTTTTCACCTGCATCCCTTTTGGCCTGGTTCCACTCGAGCAATGATCTGACGCGCGCGCGATGTCACTCAGCGGCCTCCTCAGCGAGTGTCCAATCCATCTCCACTTTCTCCTGCATGTGTATTGGTTTGCGATTGGTTCTTGTTTTGTTTCTTCCCAGCTATAGTTTCTTGTTGGTGATTCTTCCCGGCCCAGCCATCTGATCTTCAGCATAGATTCAGCGAAGACAATTGTTGATAAAGGTTTGCAACCTGTCCAATAATGTTCAGAAATGTAAAATAAGTTGATTGTGTTCAAGTTGGCTATTACGACAAAGTAAAGAAAGTTTCATGTTTCTGATCCGCGGTAATATGTTAATTTTGACTAGGAATCATTGAAATTCCTGTTTCCAGGGTCAAGATATACAAGGTGACTTGGATTGCAATCAACCTCCCTATCTGTCGCGGTGGATTTGGAGTCCTTAGGTCGACTATTTCTGGCCTACTGCCTACATTCAAGCTATCGCTTCTGTCATGCCTTGTAATTAAATAAACTAAACCTTCTCTGTCTCTCTCTGTTTTATTTAGTATAAAGTATTATCGACATTCTTATTTTGCAGGTGAATTGCTCATCAGCGATATACCATATTCTTGTCGACTTCAATACGATAGACTGTTGCTCAACTGTTATCGTTGTTCTAAACGATGTATTAATCTTATATCGTGCCGTAAATGTACTCAGGTAGCTAGTTTTTTTTTTGAAATATTCGATATATGAGTAAGTGGAACTTTTTGATTTAGCAATTTGATTTTCAGTTACTGGGTCACCTTTCTCTACCCACTGATATGAGCTTTCACATAATAATAAGTGTGGATCATTGCCAGGTGCGTAGAATTACTAATATTTAAGAAGGAACACCGTCTTAGTACTCTGTAGTTTCTAATTTTTTTGTGTAGCTAATTTCATTTCTTGCAATTGATATACTCTGAAACTAGTTGTTCATTTTGGTTCTCAGTATTTATTTTAATACAAACTTAGGGTTCTAATGAGAAGTCGTGACCAGTAGGGTGCAGCAGGTTGGGTGTGAGAACAAATAACTCGCCGAAGACATCGGTTAGGGGTCGCGCTATGTCATGAATTGGCAGAAGTTACAATTCGTGGGCCATTGGGTCGGGTCCCAGTGGCTTAATAGTCTATGAACTGGCTCGCCTTGTAATCAGAAGGTCCTGGGTTCGAACCCCGGTGAGTGCATACAGCTGAAGAGTCCCAGACTAGGACGAAACAGCTGTCCAGTACTTCCAGGTTTTCCAATGGTTCTCTAACCAATGTCAGTTCATGGTGAGATCCTGTAACCAAATCCCTACAAACCAACACTTAAAACTATTTTACATTATTTGACGGGAATTCTACTAGATAAAGGACTTTCTGTAATAAAAAGAGAGAAATGGTTTCAAATTATTAAGTATTTCCTTAATGAAATTCAGAAATTGTAATAATTGTATCAACATTGCACTGAAGGGCAAAGTTAAACTTTAAGCACCACTAACTACCAATCAGAGGATGACCTTGAGCGCGCCATTTGCATGAAGGAGGCATTTTTGTATGAGATACATAAATTTATGAAGAAAATGCATAAAGCATGTATAAAAGTGTTACATGGGACACCTTTCTCTCACACATAATAAAAACATCTCCCAGTTTAGCATAATAGTATCAATTGAAACGTTACACCAGATCCTACACAAATATTCATCTAAATGATTATCAATGGCATCCTTTTGGGATCCGTTAATGGCTCTAATCGTGTTTTTAACATTGTCCAAAAGCCTTCTATATAATTGGTGTGAGTCCCTGTAATGGAATCCACAAAATCACTAGAATGGTTGGTCCTGTGGTGAATGTATCCAATGGATGACAAGGAGTTATAGCCTTTCCACTCATCTGTGTGTACTATTGATCCTTGTTTGACCAGTCGAGTAGTAATAGGTATTAAAGTACTAGACTTTCTATCTGCTATCCTCTCGACAAACCCTTTATGTAGAGAGGTATCATATGTTCCTACGAAATATTAGAACTATCAGCTTAAGGTTAAGTGTAAAACGCTTCAGTGTGTAATGTTCTTCTGTTTGCCTATGAAGCTTAATCTATCTCTATTGAGGATGTTCGGCGATAATGACTGTTTACATTGTTGTCCTCCAAACCTATGAAAAGTAAGTAGTTCCAGTGTGAACAACATTTACGTGAGAAAAGTGGAGACCGTCTTACAATAAGCGATGTCATCTTACGATATAGGATTGGGATGCTTGGATACGCATTACGAATTTTATCTTTAAACTCTCTCACACCAAATATTAATTTCTAGTTTCTCGACTAGCTAGAGGACAACATACTTCTAGGTATCTATAATATACCAAGTCTGTTACGGAATTTAATTATGAGCTGACATTGGTCAGAGAACCATTGGAAAACTTGGGAGTGCTGGACAGCTGCTTCGCCCTGGTTTGGGACTCTTCATCAGTACACACCCACTGGGGTCCGAACCCGGGACCTTCTGGTTACAAAGCGAGCTCGCAGACCATTAGGCCACCGGGACCCGATCCAATGGCTCATGAGTTGCAACTTCTACCAATTCACTACAGAGCGTGACTCCTAGCCCCGGTGGCCTAATGGTATACGAGCTCGCCTTGTAGCCTGAAGGTCCTGTGTTCGAATCCTGATGGGTGCGTACCGATGAAGAGTCTCAAACTAGGGCGAAACAGCTCTCCAGTACTCTCAGGTATTCCAATGGTCCCCTAACTAATCTCAGCACATGATGAAATCCTAAAATAGTTTTAGTTAATTATTGCCAAATTTGAAATCAGTACATTGAAGTAAGCGTTGACAACAAGAAGAAGGTGACAAATTGGGGAGTGATAATGATATGTGAAAAACACAATACGATAAAAGAAAAAGTGGATAACGAAGATATAGATATATGTGCTAGTAAGACTTGAGAACATATTACATTATAATCAGTTATAATCCCTTAGTAACTGATTTTCTTGATCTGATCTTTCTCAGTCATAGAGCTCGTACTGCTTCAGATAACAGCAGAATGCAACTAAGAGACTTTCGACTGTTTTGTGAGTGACTATGACTCACTCCGATTGCGGAAATCGAATTCTAGTCAGGGTTGGTCACCCTATACAATAACATGATGAACATCGCACAGAGGGATGTCCAAAAACAAGATAAGTCTATCCTAGACGACAAATTATATCAATTATTTGATTGGTATTGACTGGAAACGTAGTATAAAATAATTCGTTTAAAAGTTACTAAGAAAAATGACCTTCGTCATATCTGTTCTGTATGTTTTCTATGGGATTGCTCATAGTAACCATGACTTATCCTCTAATTTGGAAGGAAAAACATCGATTTCGTAGAAAGATACAGGTTACTGCTTGACATTTAATTGTTGTTAGTGGCATAATGCTGGCCACATATCTTTTGATGGGTGATGATACATCTGAAAGAATTTTTTGATTCTAAACGCAACAAATTCATCTTTTTAACCCACTTGATAGCTTCATCTCAAAAGTACATGACATCAAAATTGTAAGGATAAAACTTACATTGAAAACTTCGTACTGGTTGGATTTAAGCACAATTTGTTCACTTCGCATTCTTTTGATATAATTCAATCGGTTTTGAGCAATCCATCAATAATTTTGCGTTTATTTTGAACTTTCATTTAATCTCTATTACACAGCACATTTTCTGTGCTTAATTGACTTTCACAGCAGGGACAATGATATACCTGCTTTGTTGATATTTTTTTCCAGGTCGGATTTTGTAGTGAAACATGTGAACAAGCGGCCTGGGATCCACTATGGTCCAGTGACAGTAAATTACCACCGACAATAACTAATCCTTGCCTACCGTCACATTATTTCGAATGTGGACTTGTTGACCGCTTACTATTAGATGACTATGCTGGCTGGAAACGCTTACGTAAAACATTGTCGTCAAAATTGACAACATTTAAGGAAAAATGCAAAGTATTCATAGATAAACTGCCAGACGATGATATAATCGGTGGGCCGAATATCTCATGGCTTTCTTTTGCTCTCTTAGCCCGAACTTCTCCAACAACCTTGTTAGAGTTAATTAAAGTAAGTCAAAACGTTTATTTTTGTACTCTTCTTCACTGGTTTAATTTGATGTAGTCGATTGTAACCCAAAAAGAAAAAAATATAAAAACGCAAAAAAAAATCAATTAAGCTGTTGATAAACATTTCTTCCTCTTTCTTTCGTTACCTATTGGTCTATTGTCGAGCGGGACAAACGGTGACCGACGCCTCATCTCGATATTGCTCACTTGGTTATACCACTTAACACGGAGGATAGAACGCACACACCTATGATCAAAGATGGCTAGCCTTTTCGTATTATCTGCTTTTCCACTGGTCATGTCTCACAGCTAGCCATAAAGGAGCATGGAGCGGACTGCTGAGCAGTACACACGCTCTTTGATTGACAGCCGAATATCACGTCTACTAAACCAGAGATGGCGTAAGTTGGCATATGCCAAACGAGCCTTCTGTACTCGTGCTGAGATTTCGTCATCATATTCGGAGCTCCCTGGAATTAGTCTTCTTGTGTCAATCAGTTCAGATGAGGTCGTAGAAATCCACTGACTCTTACTAACTTGGGGTTTTAGATCATTAATAGGTTTTACAGCTGTGTCTACAGCTAACTGTATGTTGTTCCAGGCTACCCCAGAAACAATCTTGCTGTCGACCTCAGATACTCGTTTCACCATTTCTTCCTTAGATATGGACTCAGAGTTTCTATCTAGTTGAGGACGTAACTGCTTCACTGCCAACAGTTTTTTAATGTCCGTTTAATCGTAATCATAAACATGCGCAAAACAGGGCGTGATCGGAGTCTATGCACAGAGTCTGCGTGTCTCTCCTTGTGCCTATAGCTAGTTCTGACAAGCAACTGATGATTATCGGACGTAAGCTGAGACTATGAAAAAATAACGACAGGTAACGCCATCCTTCGTTCCTCTTACGGACCTGTTCAGGCGGACCTCACGCATATGACTATTTACTGGGATCTAGACAATGAGTGATTTTTCTCCCCTAACACTCACCCTACACTTGCGAGTCCTTGCGAAATAGATGAAGAGTCTTCTGACAATTTTAAGGCATATTTTGCAAATTCACCTTGTTGACCGGCTGGGGTTCAGTGAATAACCACACTCAGGTCTTGTATGCATGTCTCCATACATCCATGGGTCGGAATGCCAGAGTTCTCGCTAGTGATGCCAGTTGTCCGATTTAACACAAGATCTTGATGTAAAATGCTGCAATATGAAGTTGGCGGCGTAGCTTTAAGAGGCTGTCGGCTTTTTTATAGTTCTTGTCGTTATTTGTGGTCACAGAATGAAATGAAGATGACCGACCAGCCTGAAGAATAGTACTGACATTAGTAGGCAAGCAAGATGATGAGGATGGTAGGAATAAAAGAGAATGATGATCAGGAGGGCTTTGTGTGCCTTTGGAAGTGTGTAGGTGGTTGTTACTTCGCGGAAACAGAAAGAGGGTTTTCAAAAATTCGTCTTCATCCACTGATGATAGATAACCCACTTTTTTGTTGGCATAACATTTGAAGTTGAAACTCGTTCATTCCTGAAGACTAGAAAGTATAACACACCTACTATTATTGCCAACTGACTAATAGGTAAGGCGTTTTGTTTTATTTTTTTCCTACAGACCTCCTTAGACAAACTCAGTTGTCAAGTTGATTCAAGCCAAGTCCATAAAGAATTGTTATCATTTACTGGTCATCGTGTTGTTCCACAGAAAGGTTGGGATGATTATATGTCTATTGCCTGGCTAATTACAAACTCGGATAAACGCAAATCTAGTGATCTATGGCAACGTTGTGTAGCTGCTGTTTACCTAACGTTTTGTCTTGAAGTAAGTATTTGTTATAATATGTTGCATTTCTTATAATTCCATGGTAAAACATGTATAAATTTCTTAGATTTTTCACACACCACAGCATTGGTCGGTGGTGGTCGCTCTCCAACGTTGCTGACTGACAGAAGTTAGGACTCATTAGTCATTGGATTCTAATCCAATGTTCAACGGGTTCGCCTCGAAACTTGAGAACCCTAATGTTAAATCCATGGGTGGGTAGGCAGAGTTCTCACCTATAGAGAAATAACTGTTTACTGTTCTTTGGTGTTTTCAAACTTATTTCAGTTCTTGACAAAATTTACATTACAATTTTCATCCTAAAATCTTCACTTTTTCAGGGAGTTTAATTATGTACATCATTGACCGAATACTTTTGGAGCATTTATGTATTGTCACTTGTCTTCATACTTATCAGACTAGAGTTAATCACGGGTGTATATGTTCAAATAGAAATATGTTCATTCGCATATGCGAAGTTGTCTAAGCATATCACGTATTTTATATGAACTGTGATCAAGATTCGACCGAATATTTTCAAAATAATTCGACACCGAATGTGAAGTAGACATTTGTAAAAATTATATATGTAAAATCTCAGCAAAATTGAAATGAATAATTCCAACGTTTCGTTCAGCGAACTGGTTGCTGGCATAGTGGTTAGGCCTCTCTCCGACCATGCACATGGTCCATGGTTCGATCCCCCCTGCCGACGACGCACACCTGATATCAATTGATCGGCCTGCAAAATTTAGGCTATCGATATCAAATGCTGAAAATTCTCTACTTGTACCAAAAATACGGTGTGGAATCAAGCTGTAATCAAAAGAAAAACGTCTTCAGTGAAATTAATCTAAATTAAAATAACAGAGGTTTGCATATATAAGAAGGACATCTCTTGTTTTCAAAAATTTTGTTCAGTCATATGAGTTGTGAAACAGGCATCAAAATATAATAAACAGAATTGTATGACCTGTGATCAGAATTCGACTGCAGACTTACAAATATCAGTCTACTTTTGGTAAACAGTTTAAACAGAGTGTACTTTTCATCAGATTTTTAGTAATTACGTTCGACTAAAAGTTCACGGTCGTAGATAGCTGAATATGAAAAATATATGTGTATATGCAGTATACAGCGGTGTGTGTGTGCGTCAGTGTGTAAATAGTTGTAAAACATTTGTTAGCCTCCATAAGAAGATACAGACAGTTGGGAATTTAGATCAAGAACCAACAACAACAACAGCAGAAACATCCAGCGCCAATCACCATCAACGGGAGGGAGTTGAAAGAGGTTACTTCATTCATCAAGGGACCATTGTCTCAACTTCAGGAGGTCGGAACGAACGAGGATGTCAAATCGACAGTCGAGAAGGCGTGAAACAACATATTCATCAACCTGAAACCAGTCTGGAAATCTTCGTCACTCAGCCAGCATCAACAACAAAATTCGGTCGGATTTTCAATACAAACAACGTCAAGTCAGTCAGCTCTTCTATAGGGATCAGAGAGAAACTTGACGAGCGGGTCACAAAGAATATTTCAAACAGCCTGTTGCAGACGCCACCTTCATCAACCAACAACTGTCTTCGCTGGCGCTATACTGAAGATCAGATGGCCGGGCCGGGAAGAATCACCAACAAGAAACTATAGCTGGGAAGAAACAAAACAAGAACCAATCGCCAACCAACAAATATGCAGAAGAAAGTGGAGATGGATTGGACACACACACACTCGTGGCTGAGGAGGCCGCTGGGTGACATGGCGCGCACGTGAGGCCATTTCTCGAGTGGAACCAGGCCGAAAGGGAAGCGGCGAGTGGGATGTCAGTGCAAGGGTGACATGGAAGAGATGGTGTGAAGAGGAGTTGAAACAGTATGGACTAACATGGATGCATGGGAAAAGTAGAGTGGAAGAAGACAGAAGCAAGCGGAGACGTGCAGTTGAAGCCGTATGTTCCACTAGGAACCCAAGGGAACAACAATAATAATAATTAATTAGTGATACATATTCCATTTTTATTTGTTAATCAGGACTTGTCATGCCTCAGCTAATATTATCACACCTTTACATCTGTTCAAACTTTTGGGATTTACCGATAATATGTAGGGCTTCTGCAGTCAGTCTTTCTTTTATGCAAACCAAAACCTTTTTGTGTAGAACTTCAGTCCTATCAAAATCAATTTTGTGTCCCGTTTCTATCGAATGCAGTGTAATCACTGATTTGTTTTCTAGCTCGTATATATATATATATATATATATATATAGTGGTAATTTCTATTTTCTCATGATGATGTATTTTACAGGCTGGTGGTTATCCGCTTCAACGGGAAGATAATATTCCTGAAAATCATCATTCCATTAGTAGCCTACTTCCATTCACATGGGCAGCTACATGTATCTTACATCATCTTCAGTGTGTATCGTCCAATGGTCATTCATTATCCCAACCAGAGTATATCGTCTCAGAAGAAATTAGTAGTCAACAATTCACTGAGCCGCCTGGAATTGACTTAAATCTTTTGTCATCAATTGAATTATCAACTGGTCTATATCCGGTGCTTTCCTTGATTAATCATTCATGTGATCCTAATGTGAGTAATGTCACTCAAAGTGAATTCCAGTGTTCAGTATATTCTCTTCGACCTATTCAGTGTAATGAAGTAATCTATGGAAATTATGGTTTGCATTATGCAATACATTCATTAGCTGAACGTCAAAATTCCTTGCAATCACAATATCATTTTCAATGTACTTGTACTGCATGCTTAAATGATTGGTCAGGTATGAATGGCAATATTATGCGTATGATGGATGCTCCATTGAAATGTTTCACTTGTTCCGGAGCAATTGTTTCTAATGCATTAAAGACATCTGTGAGTAGTAATAATAATAAAGTTGACCTAACGAAAGTTGGACAACTTTGTTGTTGCAGCCAACAAATTCAAATGAAATCAATAAGTAGGTTCCAAAAATTGTTTTTCAATGATTTATTAAGTAAATTTGATACCATACCCTTATCATTTCAAAAAACTTCACCAAATGAAATCACTGATAAATTTTTAAACAAATTTATTGCCTATACAACACGTATGTTGGCTACAGACTGTTTATATGGGATACTTCCACGACCATGTATTCATTTAGACTGGTTACAAGAATTATTAAAACAATTATTTGATCTTCAGCATACTTCATGGTCGTATGAAAGTGAAATAATTCGATCAGCCTTTTAAAAACATACAAGAGTTCTTGTTCAATTCTTTTTTTTACAAACTTCGATTGGATTTCTGAACACAGTTTATCTATATATTACATCTGTGTCATTATTATTATTATTATTATTATTATTATTATTATTATTATTATTATTCAGTAAATGTTAATATAAAACAAGCAATAAAGGTTAATAAAGCAGGATTTAATGAATTCATCAAATTTCGGTAGAACTCGTCAGCTGAATACTCTACATACACGAATACATATGCTTTTGAAATTACATTGGGAGATATAAGACTGATAAGTTGAATACTCTACGTACACGAATATATATACTTTTGAAATTACATAGGGAGACATAAGGCTGATAAGTAAACAAACTACATTGAATTAATCATGCAGAGAGACAGGTGCGAATATTTTCCAGGTCATGTTCAAATAGATAAGGGGAGAGAGAGAGTATGAGAGATCAAAATTAAGATAAATTGCATTACGCTTCAATTACATCACTTAGATAAACTATTAGTCATTAGGGAATATAACTAGAATTGCAAACAGACTAATATCAATAGTAATAGTTATAATAACAATAATAATAATAGTGTTGAAGTGAGTTAAGATAATCTTACGGATAAAGCATAGATTTAAATGAATCAAGAATAATAATAATGGCAGTAATAATAACAAAAATAATAATAAGAAGAGGTAGAATAATAACAAGTAGAGAATAAAACGTATTACCATGGTAGATTAAGAGTTACGACCATCTCCTTTTGTATACAGAGAGCTGGTTTATAAATTCGAATTGCACAAGCCTCTGCAATTGCAAGCATCTTCTTGTTTCTTTGTTTGCTGACAATGGTAAATGACTTGACTGCGTCGATATCATGTCCGTAATCTACAAGATGTTTTGTTATTGAGGATTTTGGCACTTTGAACTCAGCTGTTTTCAACCATTTTGGCAAATGCTCCATCATGCGAGTAGACAATCGCCTTTCCGTACGACCTATGTATTTGCTGCCACAAACACACTCAAATTGATATATGCAGTTTGAAGTGTCGAGGATTGGCGACTGGTCTTTCCCAGATTGTTGAAGCACTCGCTTGGTGGTGTTAAGGATAACAAGTTTTGCAGCATAATAAGTTCTCTTGATGGCTTTGTCGAGTCTTCGTTTCACTACTTCTTGTACGTCATCTCCTTTGAACGGTAAATTGATATAAACAGGTTTCTTTGGAACTGTTTGAATCGTTTTGCGGGGGGTAGTTTCTTTGGAGTATTTATTAATGAACTTCTCAGGATATCCATTCTTAGATAAAATATCCTTCAGAGATTTTATTTCCTGTTCAATAGTACTGTCAGAACAAATTTTCCGTGCTCTATTGAACAGTGTTCTGACTAGGTTCTTTTTGTACTGGATTGGGACAAAGCTCTTGAAATGCATGTACTGTCCTGTCCATGAAGACTTTCTAAATATAGATCTTTCGATTGTGCCATCATTCATTTTGGCTAGAAAAACGTCTAGGAATTTCATAGTATCGTTTTCCTCGTGTTCTACTGTGAAATTGAGATTTGGATGGCATGAATTGAATTTTATCAACATGTCTTCCGCTTTTGATCTGCTTTCACAGACAATAAAAATGTCATCAACATATCTTAGGTATACATTTGTTTCTTGTATGTGCTGCTGTAAAGCACCGGTTTCTAGGCGTGACAGGAATAAGTCGGCGAAAAGTGGTCCCAAAGGGCTTCCCATTGCGACACCATCAACTTGACGGAACAGACGCCCGTTGAATTGGAATTGGACATTTTTAGTACATAAAAGTAGTAATTTCCTCAATTCCGATGTTGGAATGGGTATGTCTTCAGCTTCTTTACATATGAAGTCGATAGTCTCAACAACTGGCACATTTGTGAAAAGGGAGGTAACATCGAAAGAGACCAAATGCTTATCGGATACATTGAAATCTTTAATTTGATTGACAAATTGAAATGAATCAGAGACTACATGTGTTCCGAAACGTTTCAACAATGGCTGCAACAGTTCACATAACCACTGTGCTAGTCTGTGGTACGGCGAGTTTATCATAGAGAGTATGGGTCTTAACGGCGCTCCTGGTTTGTGTATTTTTACGCGTCCGTATA